ATTTGAAAATATGCTGTTGTGACTGTGAATCTCCTTATAAAATTTGTGGCTTATGGAATTTACGACACCTTGTGAAACGCCTAATGTCAGTAGGTATTCCCGGTAAACTGGCAGCTCCCTTTTTCATTGCATTTTAATGTTAGAAACTGAACCCGATCATAAGTAACATTAAAAAATTACTACTTGATTTGCACAAATTTTCTCCACGTTTTCGGTTGAGCTTCCACTTAATCTAATAGTATGCAAGCAAAACTTTTGATGCAGAAAAGGCTTGAATAGAGTTTTCGTAGCGCGTGGGTATTGTCGCATTTAATGATAAACTTTAATGAGAGTTATGTATTTAGAGCTACATACTTACATAAATATTTATATATTTTTATTTGTATTATGTAATTATTCTTAAGACATATTCTGCTTCTACTAAGTCGATAATTTAACATCGTATTTTAGTGCAAATCACCTTATCTCTTTGTATACATACATATTTACCTAACCTAACCTTTATTTGTACAGATATTTATGTATTTATATATGTATATACATATCTGTGGCGTTTTATTAAAACAGCCTTTCTCGAGATAGGCCATTTTTCCTTTAAAGCAATATTTAAAGCATTTTAACGATTAACTAGCCATAGGTGTAGTTTAAGATACCCTTTTAATAAAATCTTAATAAAAATATAAATCTTTTCAAGGGAAACTTATAATTTTTTTCAGAGTCAAATCTTCTAAAGTCATTTAAGTTGTTTTAACAAAATGCCACATGTATATGTATGTATGTTGGGGTGGTGCTAAATTATCAACATCATGGGGCACCACTTAATTTTGTTCTACATACAAAATAAGGACAGACGAAAATTAAACAAAAAAAAAAAAATGTATGGGTCGCTACCAGGTATTCATTTTTTTTTATCGAAAAAATTCGACAAAATTTTGTCTTTGAGAAGTTTCATTAATGTGTCAAACTTATCAAATTTCAATTAAACCCTGGTAGGGACCCGTAAATATTTGTTTAAAATTTTGAGATTTTCGTGGATGTTGTAAGTAGAACAAAATAAACGGGTGCCCCATACAAAATTTAGATGCTGATCTCTTTAAGGACCAACCTAACTTATGCATGTACATAAATGCTGTCTTCAAACTTGGAAATACTGGTGTGGATCCATTGCTACAGCTTCTTATCGACATTCATATGTACATATATAACATATAACCACATGTACATATGTACATACATACGTATGTACATGTACCTAATCTCGCTTTGTCAACTTCTACAGCTTCACTTGAACTTCAAATTTTTTACTACATACTCCTCCATCTACCTCATATTCTCTTCTATTTATAAATATTCCCTTTTTTTTATGCTGACAGTGCCGTTTAACTCATTTTAACAAAAATATCTAATTGGTTTGCCATTTTTTATTAAATATTCCGCCTTATCATGAATTTAGTTTTCCCCGAACCGGTTCTCTTTTGTTTTCTATGGTTTTACTATGGACGGATGACAAATTATCGGGTAAATTTTTTTTCAGACGAAACTCACGATAAGGCAGATTATTTCTTAAAAAATATTATAGTTATAATTTATTTTTGAACGATTAATATTGTCATGTTTACTTTACTTTCTCTCTTTCTCCGTTTCTCCACCCAACAAAAAACCATACACACACTCACACGATTTTTCAATCAACCCACCATACCATCTTCGTCCCCAAATTCTTCTAGGTGATGCATATTCAATGAAAACGTATCGAAGTATCACTAGTTTAGCCACCTCACCGGCTGTTAGCAGTTATTCACTATATAGTAATGGATTTGTTGTCACCACCAACAATAAAATTTACAATGACATTGACAATAACGCATACAATAACGGTCAGAATAAGATCGGCGGCCACAACAGTCAGAGTCACAGTCACAGTCATAATTATAGGCACAGTAATAGCTATAGTTATAGCCATACAGCGTTACCGTTACTAAATCATACGGACGTTGAAGTTGACTATCCGAACATTGATGATGATTTACCGCCAGACTTTAACGAAAATGCTGACATAGACGACGATGAGCTCAGCGTACAAAATACTCGGTTATAAAAAAAAAAAAATATGTACTTATGTATGTATATGCAAAAATTTAGTTATTCCATATTTAGAAGCATACTTTATTTAAGTATAGTAATAAATACACACATACATACATACATACATACACAATATGCCAATTTATTAAAACGTAAGTTTAAATATTCTAATGGATTCTTGTATGTATTCGTATTAATGCATTTATTAATTGAAAAAATTGAAAGCATCTAGAAAAAAATGCTCTGAGAGAAATTCTTTTCTTAAGTATGCAGCATAGTATATCCACGCGTTTTTAGTTAAATTCATTAGCATTGTCTCGTATTTTTGTATTATGCTTTTTTTATAAATATTTGCAAATGCAAATAATATGTATGAAATTTTTGCTTAAATTAATCTTATAAATATAGCTTGTTCATATGTATATGAATTTTTTGTAAACTTTTGAATCTCCTCAGAAATTGTTTTCCGCTAATGCTATTACCTTCAAGACTTATACAAATTTATGGTAACATTCCCTTATCTCTACAGTATTTCCCTCTTTTATTTATTTTTTTTTTTAAGTGAAAATGGTACTGAATTTTTAAAATTTAGGCGAGGGTGAACTGAAAAGTGGAAGTACTCGGCAAGCTAACAACACTCTTGCGATTCAAACTGAATTTTTGTCTCTTAATTCAAATACGTTTAGTCCGAGAATTCGAACGATATGGGTATGAATTCGTAGTCTTTATTAATCAAAATCTTGTCGTCTTGCTTCTCATATCATGAATTTGACTCCGCAGAACTTTTTTTCAGTCTTTAGTCAAGCCGCCTTCCGTCCAAAAGTACTTTTTCTTATGATTTTATTGCCTTTTCGTTTCTAAAAGGGATTAGCCTTCGGCAGGTATGGGCAAATATCTGTGTGTATTTCTGCCGGGTGAAGGCAACAAATAAAAACAGCTGGCGTTTGGAAAACTATTGATCTTTCACATTAAGAGCATAAAATCAAAATGCTCTCTACGATTTTTAGAATAAATTTAACCAGAACTCTTCCTAGATTATGTACAATTTTTTTTTTGTTATCGGAACTGATTTGTTTTCAGTTCGCCCTCGTATCGATAAAAAAAAAAAACTAAAAATTTAATTTTGTAAATTCTTTCCTATTAAATCATTTGCAAAAGCTTAGTTTGTTTTAAATTATTGCATAATCGCTGTTTTACGATCATAGTAACAAATATTGAGAATTTTTTCAAATTCTAGTAAAATAGAAAAAACAATAAAAGCTATAATACCAATTTCTGTTCCAGAATACCGTATCACTTGTATGCAAAGTTAAAACTATATGCGTGTATGCCAAATTTGATAAAGAAAAAATCTAATAAATTTATGCCATATCGTTCTAATTTTATTATTTTGAAAACCACTTATATTAAACCATTAATTATGCTAATAAAAAATTGTAATTCCTATAATATCTACTATACTATATTCTTGAATCTATATGCTACTTGTATTCATTATTCCTCTAGTTAGTATACCTATACAATGATATTTATTGAAAACTATTTACTCTTCGATTTACAAATATAAAATTTTTGCATTTATCATAATGTCATTGAGTAAGCGCTTTTTGTCAGAAATTTGCAGTGCTTATACAACTTTTTACATTTTTTATGATTTTAACCTTGTTAGTAGTAACATACATGTGTATGTATGTACATATGAATAAAAAAAAATTGTACTGAAATTTATAGTCGTTAAATATAAAAAATAAATAGTGGACTTTCTAGTAACGCACTTTTTATTTTTTTATAGTTTTACTAAATTCAGCGCAAAAATTTACTCATAATCCGCAGATTTGAGGTTCCACTGAAACTTTTGAAACTTTGCCTTTAGGGTGCAAATTTTATTTTGGTTTTATGCTTAATCTAAAGTTATTTTAGTAAGAAAGTTTAAAAATTTACAGCAAAAAAAAAAGGATTAAACGTACAGTTGTCCACAAAATAATATCAGTGCGATATTTTGAACAGTCTTTTGTTTATTTAATGTTTATTATTTTTTTATGCAGCTTGCTATTTTCACAAAAATTTCAAACTTTTTAATCAGAATCTTTAGAAAAAAATTGTGGTATGCAGTTTCGTAGCCCATTTGGCATTAGTAAATTAAGGTGCAAGTTTCAAGCTGCTAAAAAATCCCGTTTTTCCAAAGATTCTGATTTAAAAGTTTGAAATTTTTCATGAAAATTTGCAGATTTTTTATAATTTTTGTACAAACTTTGAAATCTGAATTATATGATGTTTGTTGTATAGCCACTAGACTTTTATAAAAAAATTATAAACATCAAATAAAGAAAAGACAAAAATAAAATTGTTCCCTCCATATGTTCCTTCACGTATTTTTTTTTGTTTGTAAGTCACAAATACTTAGATATGAAGTTCATGTTATTAACTCGGTTTTTTTGCGATATTGTTCATATAAATTTTCATCTTTTAGTTGCGGAGGCAAACCGCCAAAGCATTTTCGAAAAAAAAATATTTTGGCAAAATCAAATGCAGTCGAAATGACACAACAAAGACAGTATTGTACGTTAAGAAATCAGGAAATTAGTTTTGCATAGCTTTAGTTCCACAGAAATCGATGCTGGTTTTTAGGACTTCGGCCAAAATATTTCGGCAAAATATTAAGATTTACGTGGGCTGAATGCATTTGAATATACCTAAAAAATCGATTTTTTTATACAATAAATAATACTAGTTTATAAAATTTGTATTTTTTTTTAATCACCTCGGATGATAGAAGGTCTTAAAAGGTCTGTATAAAAATTTTTAAAAAGTTTAGTTGCAACCACTGAGATATCTCAACGAAATAGTATGTAGGTTGCCCTTTATCCAAGGTAGGTTGGTATTGAAAATGGCCGAAATCTTTGTACTTTGTTTTTGTAAAAGATATAAAGTTTTAAAGTCCAATAACTGAAATAAGGCATTAACAAATAATTTACAAAAAAAAATGTTTACACAAGCTTTTATTAGTAGTGGCAATAAAAAATAGAAATAAAAATTACAATAAGGGCTACATTTTTTGTTGAGTTATTTCTTTCCCTAGAACATGCCTTATTAGGGATGCGATTAAAGAGTGTATATTGCCAATTTTAGGCAACAATTTATGGTTTGTCTAAAAAGCGGGTTATAAATTAACTTAACAATAATTCTGCATGCACGGCTAGTGCTTGTTTAAGCTCTAAATTAACTGCACGTTTAATATATAGTACATAAGTACATTTGTATGTATTTTTGTAACATTTTTTTTTCTATTCAATTACCTCAACCTTCACGTTAAGTAATAAATAGTTGATTTTATTTTACAAATTCCGTATTATATAATTTATTACATTTTTTGTTTAAAATCGTAAATAAAATAGCATTTTGTGCTTGCGATTTGCACATACACATAAAAAAACTACCAGTAAGTCAAAGCAGTAAGAAAATTCCTTGATCAACTCACCTAAGTTCTCACGTAAGAAAGAGTTCCATCCAATAGCTTGCCAGGATAACAGTAATTTTATTTACTACTTTCACTAAACAACTTACAACCTCCTACTCGATACTAACACTTTGATGCACTCCTTTTTCAAACTTCGATTTGCTCTTTTTACATACACTAGGCAACAAAAGAAAGCTGTACGCCTTGTTTTAACATAATATTGACAGTTAGTTTCATGAAAAATTTTTCGCATTAATTATTTATGAAAATATAGTTCATTATGTAATGTAAACCATATAAAAAAGCTTCACACTTTATATAAAGGTCACAAAAATTCAAAAAATTTTCATCAAAAATCCAAACTTTTTATTCAGAATCTGTAGAAAATTTTCGAGTATGCAATTTTGCAGCCCATTCAATTTTAGTCTAATGAAGTGCAAATGAAAAAAAATCAACGCCAGTTTTTGCATATTGCGCTCGTTATATAAAAAAAAAAAAAACGCAAAAGTAGTCTCAAACAAAAATTTTTTGAATTTTTATGAGCTCTATATAAAGTGTGAAGCTTTAACTTATAGGGTTTATATTACATAATGAATTTTATTTTCATAAATATTTAATGAAAAAAATGTTTCATGAGAGGCGTACACTTTCATTTGTCGCCTAGTGTACATAGTTAGCTTGGCCCACAGCCACACACACACACATATACATAACTACTTTCCAAACTATATATTTTGAAAAAGCTAAATCGTGCTCTATCCTTTTATTGCAAAAAAGTAGTTTTCCTTACATTGTACCGAGAAAATATTAAAAAACAAGTTTTTAAACGCAAAAATATTAATAAAAAATTGCTATTTTTTTCGCTTTTGTAAATAATTTCACAACAATATTGGCTTGGTTGAAAACAAAAATCTCAAAAAAAAATGTAAAATATTAAACTAAAAATCGAAACTTTCGAAAAAAAACACAATAAATGTTTAACTATACTGTAAAAAAATTGGGCCAAAACGACATGCACCTACAACAACAACAACTTTACTACAAATGATCGACTTGAAAATTTTATAATTTCCAAAAAACCATTGAAAAAACAATTTTGCAACAACTGCGACTATATATTTTACAACAACAATACCAAAAATCAACTAAATCAACCTGTCACCAACAATTGTTTTGAATTTAACATGAAAAAAAAATCCACCTACATGTAATTAAAAAAAAAAACAATGCTAGTAACGCTAAACGTACCCGAGGACTCGCATTCAATACGAAGTTCGCTTGCAGGTACTTCGGTGGCTTCGCACGGTTCGTCGGAGACATTCTCGCTGGAAGACAATAAGTGAGTAAAATTTTTAATAAATGTACTTATGGATGTATATTTAATTAAACATTATTGTTAATGTTTTTTTTTGTTTGATATTCAAGCACACATTTTTTCTTAAGAAAACGTGATATTATGTATTACACAAATATCGACTTTGTTCGACTATCCATTCCAAAACAAGCTCGAAAAGTACTTACCCTTTTAAATAATAGAACATTTACTAAAACCCCAAAAATTGAAAAGTATCAACAATTCGTCTGAGTATCGGAATTCGCCTAAAATTCCAAAAATGTTTGTCTTCATGAACTATCATCCCGCGATTACCTAGTCGGAATCTTAAGACCACATATAGTGGAAGAGCTTTAGCTGCAACGTGAGACCCGCGATGTTCTGGCAAATTTATGTTTTGGATAGTATAACAGGTTCAACACCTACTTATCCAGAATGGACTAAGGCATGTTAGTACAAACATACACAAATGCGGAAGAGTGAATAAAATAAATTTAAAATCCCCCTAGAAGCTATTTTAGTATTTATTTTCACTTATAAGCATACATACAACGCTGGGGATCAAGCCAGTGCCGAAATCCATTGCTTGTCTCTTGGTCATCTGAAAGAAGAAATCAATTTTATTTTAGAACTTAGAAATATCCTCAACAATTTTGTTTATAAATATTTTATTCTGTGAAGTAATTTAATTGCATTAGCTTTTCTAATACATTTCCTCCTTCTCTCCTTCTCTCCTCCACTCACCACACCACACACCACACTACCTACATAGTATTCACTTAAAAACGGCAAATGCTTTACAAAATACGCCACAACGTGATATGTTGCTGCTGAGCACCACCTGACGACAGGCCAACCTGGCGACTGCAACAGCATCTTCGTCCTCAAGCACATCTATATTAACAGCAGCGACTACTGGTTTAGCCGGTACAGTGACTTCCACATCGTCGACCACGGCAACGCCAACAAAACACTTTACGCCAACACCCACACCAACGCCAACACCAACGCGTCAACCAATTGGAATACACGCGGCAGCGGCGACGCCATTGACGCCGACGCCAACAGCCACAGCCACATCGCCTTTACGACGTACCGGTGTTGCGGGTGCTATTGCTGCACTACCAATTGGATAGCAGCAACAGCAACACCATCATCATCAAGTAACACAAAAATTAGCCGGAATTCGTTCCCCGAATGGCACAATTTTGGAGGAAGAGTGTATCGTGCAAGAGCATTTCAGTCAGTAATTTGTAAACTATATATATGTACACGCCGAAATAGAATTAGCAATTGCAAGTGCTTTCTGTCCACGCAAAAAATGATGTACATATAAGGTTGGAAACTAAGGTTTAAGTAATTGTTTTTCTTTCACATTTTTTTCTAGTGCAAAAAATTGTTGTGCCCTTTCTAGGATTCTCTATTTTGTTCTTGTTATACAAGAGCCTTCGTTCAGATTATGCATCAGACTTTTGCATTGTTTGTGAAATGCCATTTTATATATTTTTTACAAATATATAAAATCAAATACATATACATATGTATTTAACTATTTGTGTTTGTAAAATACTGCAATTTTCATACAAATACATAACTACGACTTTGGGTCTTTGACTTGTTGATTTCTGACTTCTATCAGCATTTACTAAAAAAACATAAGCTGCTACAATTTTTTTCTACGTGCCTACAGGAGCCTTCACTGTATACTTTAGTATATGTTTAATATATGTAACTATTGCAAAAAAAACACATAAAAGCACCGAAGTAGGGAAGATTCCTATTTTCGCATCACTCAGATAGCATTTTAAAATACAAATATTAGTATATTCTAATAAATCCGGTCTTGCTTCTATGTTATCAAAAATTTTATTTTAGCTTGAAGCCAGTTTTGATTATTAATTAATTTTTTAATAAAAAACCAACAAATGACTTTGATACTATATTTTCTGAATGCTGATGAAAATATATTTTAGTCCACCAGACAATTTGAGTGCAAATCTGCGTTAGAATTCCAAATTTGGACTTTCGAAACCGGCTGAAATAGGCTAGAATCGAAGAGCCAACTTTTAATATTTGATATCAAAAAATTTTGCGTTTGATCATAATAGAAGACAGTCCCACAGTCGCGTTTACGTAACCGGAACAACCCAGATTCATATCTGACCAAGGACTGCCACTTTAGCATCATTCCCCGAAAATTGCGGGAGATTTGTACTCTGTTACAACAACGACAGTTCCATTTTATAAAATGTTTGGTTTTGCAAACCAGATTAGGAAATTCTAACGGATTTTTGCTACCTGATTCTAAATATGAAGTAGAAATACAAAAGTTATGGACACATGTTTTGGAAACATTTGAAATTCTGCCTTTATTTTAGGATTCAGTTTAAGTAGGCTTTACGAATTTTAACTCATCATTTTAATTTTGAAACGAAAAACGTACTATACACACATGCCTACATACATAATAACTAGCTGCTCAATTTGTCACAAGTTTAAGAATAGGCTCAAGCTCATATATTTATGTATATAAATAGTTATAAATCTTATTTTTAGGCCAAGTGTCGATTTCTTTTTGAATTTAATTTAATGATATGCTTAAGAACGTCTGCTATATCAACTTGGAGTTGAGTTAGCTTCGAAATATTATTCTCTGTACAATCAGCTGGGAGTGAAGTTTTAGTTGCATTCTCAATTAAACTCAAATTGTAGACTTCGAGACGGTCAAAATGGTTTTTCATATACATATGTACATAATTATGTAAGTACATATCGTACCTTTGTTGCAGGAGTGTCATAATCCAATAAATCAAAAACTCAAGAAAAATCGCTTTAAAGCTTACACTTTGCATACGCTATTAAAGTAAAAATGAAGACACATTTTCTTACAATGAGCTATAATTACAAGTAATTTTTAAGCAAAAAACAAAACCGACTTCAATTCTCATATAAAAATTTAAGATTATCGTTAATTTCTTCATGATCCAGTAATCGGATATAAACCAAATTAGTATGGTAACCTGTGAGGTAACACCTTTCCATAAAAAGAAAAAGAATTAGGAAATCGGTTAATGTAGTCCAAAGTTGTGCGGTAACATACATACATAAAAAAAAGAAAACAAAAAATATTCCGAACTGATAACGTTCTCCTTTTTGTGACGTCGGTTAAAAAGCTTTCAAATCCAGATTTTTTCGTTTCCTAACGGCGGCGCCGTGGCCAGAAAGTTAGCAGAATTCTACCAGCTGGAGAAGCAATTCAATTTGAATTTTGAGATATTATTACATAAGTATACAAATATGTACATATATGTATTTATATATACTATATATGTATGTATGTATATACATGTTTTGACCGTTAATAGAAAGTTTCTTCTTGCTCGAGAATTTTAAAGCTTTTTCATTTTAAAGTCGTTTCTCTAATATTTCTACCGCTGTTTCCCCTAACTACATATCGTCACCCTTATGCCAGAAGCATGAATGTGCAAATTTATCAGTTTTGAGCTATTGGGTTGACTTGACCAACCTTTGGATGCTCTATGTTATACCAAAACCCGGAATACCATGCGTACACGGAAACCATATATTTTACAATTTCAATTACATAGAGTTAAATCTCGTAAAAAAAAACTTTCAAACTTGATTTCCCAAAATTTTCATTTTTACACATTCATGCTTCTGGCATACGGGCGACGATATGCTTGAACCAAGGTACATTGAACAGGTAGTATCAGTAGAGCAGCTGATTTGATTTATTTTCAAATTATTTGGTCTCGAAAATGTCAAATATTTTTAATTTTTTCTCACAAAAATTCTGAAATGTTAAAATCCATTTGCATGTGAAACCTTTTTCCAGACAAAACAAGCGATTGAATAGCAGCTTTTGGAACGTTCGCCCAACTCAGCAGCACAACCGCTGATTACTGGCCCTTGTAAAGGATGGATCAATGCTTCGAGAAGCAAACAAATTTACTAGGAAAGAAAGTTGCAACAATTTTTATTTTTTCCAATTTCAATTTTTTATTTTTTATAATTTTTTGTATTTCACATGGCACGCTTTGATTTAGAAGAAAAAATTCAGAACAGTTTTTGACACTTTCGATACCAGAAGCAACAACAAAATACACGCAAATGTTGTTTTTGCTCTACTGATACTACCTGTTTAATGTGCCTTGGCTTGAACATAGCTGCGGATTTTCAATATACATTTAAATTTTCCTGTAGCATTTAAATTTGTACAAATACTTCCATTCCTTATCAGTTTTCTTTCCAATAAAATATGTATGTATAATAATAATAATAATAGATTGGCGCTTACACATATGTTAGTGTTTGGCCGAGCTTCTACTCCGATGTACAGTATATCTAACATAAAAATTCATACATAACAGATGCTTTCGTAAGTACATATCGTCACCTGAAATGCAAAAAGACGTAACAACGTCGTAATTGAAATGGAAAAAGTTATGACTAATATTATATTTTTTTTTTCATAAAATGATGTGGGGAGTTGTAATTCGATGAAATCCATCATATACATAAATCAAAAAGTTAATTTTGAATTTTTTATTAATAATGACTTTTTGCATTTCAACGATGATGTTTGGTTACGTCTTTTTGCATTTCAGGTGACGATATATATATATATGTAGTTTTAATTTAAAAATTTTACAGTTAGTGCCGTTTTCTCAAGTAGGTTTTAAAATTTATCTGCCCTCCAAACACATTTTTCAGAAGAAAATTTGTGTTTAAAGGGCAGATAAAATTTTAAACCTATTTGAGGAAACGGCCCTTAGAGTCAGGAAAGGTACTAAACTTTTTTTACATACTTTTTTTTTATGTAAAAAGAATGTCAATAACGAATAGAAAAACAAAATGTTGATTATCCATATAGACAAGTTAAAAGTTTGTAATAATTACAAAATTTCCTACTGGATCATAAATTTAAATGCGTAGCCAAACATGGACAGTTCATTATGAAAATTGCAAAAGACAAAATGTTTACGATGTGTCTTGCATTTGAAAATAACAAGAAATTAATTACGAAATGCAATTAAAAATAAAAATTAACGATGTTATGCGAGTTTAAAACATTTACAGTTTACAGTTAAAAACAAAAATATGCTATATGTAAATTATTAATAAAAAAATAAATAAAAGCAAATAACGCGCTGCAAGTGACACTAATTATTAACAAAAACGTTAATGTATCACGTCCATTTATGAAACGCAAAAAATATTTAATAAAAAATGAGAAAAAAAAACAATGTGTAAAAAGCAAATATTAGTAGTAACGCATCAAAAATATTTAAGTATGCTAAACTATAATTTCTTTTCAAATTCATATTTTTCTGATGCACTGCACGAAGTAGCAGAACGCAAGTGCGAACACTTCTTTTAGATTTGATTTTCGTATATTTTTTAAATACATATATTTTAACTACGTATTTATCTTCAGTAACTAAGTGTGCTAAATTTATGCTTATCGCGTAAATCAGTTGGTATACATATGTACAACAAAACATAAACAAATTTAAACCAAAGTGATACTCGCTAATGTTTATTTTATTTTTTTTGAAAACCTTTTACCAAATTTTAGAATAAAAACAAAAAACCCTTTTTGTATAACAAAAACTGCTGCACTCTGTATGCATATACATACATACATAAATATATTATAGCGTTTAGTTCAAATACATTTAAAATATATTATTTCCAAAGCGTCATTTGCTATAATACAAAAATTAACAACTTTTCTTTAAAGTATCTATAACTTAACAGTCACATTGAAGCCAGCATATTCGGAATCATACACGACGCACTTCGTTTATGACGCTTTTTTTGGTCCGCCTGACTCGATAATCTTGCCCAAATCTTTTAATGAGACTTCGCCGGTACCTCTCTCCAAAGGTTTGGGCTGATTAGGGCTTGGCTTCCAGCCGACAAAATATATTATTTGAAAGGTGGCCGTAACTCCGTCATCCTTAAAAGTAAAATATTTTTGTACAATTATTTTTTGTGAATAATGTCGATTTAAACTTTACCTTAGCATATAACTCCTTATAAATAGCGCTTGCTGCTAGCAAAGTTTCGCGACTTATATGCACTGGTCTATTGAATGCTGCATTGTTCTCAGCCATACCCTTTAAATCCCACATAAGCTCAAACATGCTTGGAAACCCGACGACAATTTCATCAGTATCAATGGTTAGCATAGTGAAACCGGCGCGATTCAATAAAGCGCCTACGTCCCTTATCTGTGGAAATATTTCAAACAACCATTTAGTTATGCTATGTCGTCTTTTATGAAAATTACCTGCGTAAAGGGCGAAATATGCGGCGCCAGTCCACCTTTGCGTTCGATTTCGGCCAATTGCAGCGATGAGCGTAGTTCATATAACGTATCACCGCCGAACAGTGATGCTATGAACACTCCATCCGGTTGTAAGCTACGTATAATTTTTGAAAAACAGCCTGGCAAGTCGTTAACCCAATGCAAACTCAAACTGGATATGACTAAATCCAGCGAGTTTTCAGGAAACTGAAATTTAAATGTTTTTAAATAACTTAACGTGAAAATACGTAATGACTCAGTGACACATTACATCTAATTTCTCCTCATCCACCTCGAGCTTGGTCATTTTCAGACCCGGCGTACCCTGTGCTTGCTCCAGCATAGTGGGGCTTGTATCGCACAGCGTTAAGTGCTGCACACTTTCCGCCATGATGTGCTTCGAGAGGAAACCGCGACTGCAACCAATGTCTGCGGCATTTGTGAATTCGCGCTTTATGTCGATAATGCGATCGGCCAAACGGAAGCCCACCTCCTCCTTCAAATAGTCATAAAGCTCCACATTCGCGCTGTGAAAGCGACAGTTTTATAAAAAATGTTTAGTATATAGTTTAGGTACTTACTTCCGCGCCGCACGTTCCTTCTGCAAACGTTTTGCATTTCTATCGAAAATATTTTGGTAGACAGGTTGCGTGCTAAATTTAGCTGTTGAACTGCTGTCACAGAAACTAATTTTATAGCCTTGCAGCATTTGCTTTGTACTTAATTGGCCGATGTTCTTCAACATTTTATCTTATAATCTAACTCAAACAAAATTGAAATCATATAATGCAAATATATGTTCCCGGCACGAATTTAATGTTGTTAACAGCTGTGATGGTCATCAGATGTTTTTTGTTGTAGGCGAAGCGTTGCCAACTCAAATGTTTTGGCAGATAGATTTGCCAATCACACGGAGCAGGGCAGGCATGCCGGAAATCGCAACAGGAAACCAAAATACCTGAGGATAATGAAATTTCCGTTCCTTGTTTAAAGAAGACGGGTGGTTCTGCCACGGGTGGCTCTCATTTAATTTTATAGCTTAAAAACATCATGAGAACCGACTCAAACATTTACTTAATAATTTTTTCGTACTGCCTTATCTGGTGCATGAATGGAAACTAAGATTTTCTGGATATGTGTACATAGTCAATATATTTTAAACACACAAAAGTACAATAATTTAAAAAGCTATATTAAAAAAAAAAGTTTGATATTAAACGTATTTATTTTTTTGCAATCTTCAATTTGCCCCCATTAATTAAAACACCCCCCTTATTCGCTGCGTCGATCTCCGAGTGCTTGCGTTTGGCCGCAAATGGATTAACGGCATTGAGCGGAGTGCGTGTGACTTCTTTTAGTTCATCATTACTGGTATCCAACTTTTCGGGATTCTTATCTGGCATGTTTTCTTGGGATTCAATTGATTCTGTATTTGTTGCTGTAAGTGTGGGAGATGCTGAGTGATCAGTCCCATTAATTACTGCCGATTTTTTGCCAAAGGTAACTGGGGAATTAGACACGGCAAAACGTTTAAGTGATGCACGTCTCGCATGTGTTAGCTCCATAGCTTTTGGCGCAATTCGATTGCCACTCGTAGAACTGTTACCAAAACTGGGACTTTGGGAACGAACAACTGGCGAGAGTGTAACGTGGTTCTGCTGAAATTCGTGTAATTCTTGTCGTTCGCGTTGACTTTGTTCTTCGATTTGTGGCATGAGTTCTGACAGGCGATCGGAGAGATGAATACGGCCCAACTTCGTAGCATACTTGACAGCCAAGAGCAGCAGGTCTGGACAGGCAATAGTTTCAATAAGTTCTTTTGCACGCATTTCCACTTCAGTACGGCAAGCCAATGCGAACAATTTGATTGCCGTTTCTTTGATAGTTTTCTCTGGATTTTCTATAGACATAATAGAAGCCCGTACCAAAGTATCCTCCAGTTCAGATTTTTCCACTTCAACATCGCATATTGGTAGCTGCATTGTAAGTTCCTGGGTCATCGGGCGTGGATTGGTCATTGGGTACGAGCTGCCGCGGCACAAAACAGCTTGTATAATTTGACTGCGTTCGGACACAGCAATGACAAAGTAATTATTTGAAACGCTCTGACTTTGTTTCAGAGTATCGCAGATTGGATACCAACATTGACTTTTAAGGCTGTACAACTGTAACAAACCCATAGAATCAGCAAATACCGGCGAACCGCAATCCGAAAATCCTAGCCATGTCAGCCGACGCTCTGGCGTCAACGGTACTGCCAAATGTTGTGTGCGCAACTGCATTCCAGCCGTTTGTATAAGCATAGCAGATAAATGCTGCTGCATGGTACCAGGTGGCGCGCTGTGGTACAATACAAGTATACGATCTTCATGGCCAGCAAGCGCCACTACAGGTCCGGGAATGGATATGATTTCACGCTGGGTGCCCATTACTGTAAAAAGACGAAGAAACTGCATGCTAGTGGCAACACCTACAAGTTTATTAGTAGCGACCAATGCCTCAGTGCTTTCACAATCAGGAAATGTGACAGACCATTCCTTATTGCCGGATGCAGCGAGTGCGATGCAAACCAATTTAGTTGAATTTTCAGCAGACAATGCCAGTACGCTCGTGCTCAAGCTGGCAATATTATGGTTGCTGTAGTTCGGTATATGCAGGGAGTGGTGCACGCTGGCGTCGTGAAATTCCACATCTAGTGAACCGTCAGTACCTTCCGTATGGGCTGTTACAATGCCAACTTCATTCCATGCAAGATAACGATGTTCCAGATGGGTTGGTGTTGCGCCTGGTTGGAATGCAGGCTGTTGCTTGAACGTCTTCACCAATATTTGTGGCTCAATATCGCCATTCACTGATTTTGTTAAGGAATGGCGCGTATTTTCATCTTGGTCATCAGCATACCCGCCTGCCTTGCGCATCACTTGGTTTTTTAATCGCTCTATTGATATCCCGTCGTCATCGTCATCATCCCCATCGTTTCCTTCACCTGCGCCCAAGCCACTGCCGCTTGCCATGTCGTCATTTTCATCATTGTTGAATTCAATATCCCCAAAATCAACTTCCTCCGCTTCACCATCTGCGAATATGGCACCATTTCCACCTTTCGTACGAAACAATGTTCCCAGTTGTCCAGTATTATCGCAAAATGCTAATTCAGTTCCTGCTGCGTTCCAACTTATGCAAGTGATGGACTGACACTCGCTAGTCGGCGGTTCCGTTTTTAAGGGCTGTTTGCGCAGAAAATCGAAAACGCTTACTTCGCCTTTTGTTGTACCCCCCGCCAGGTATTGCCCATCCTTTGAAAAATTACAACATGTATATTCTCCCTTGATTCGTTCATCGGACAGCGTAAACTTCACTTCCCATGTGTCCGTATTCAACACAAAGATTTCTTTCCCGTGGACATAAGCTAACGACTTGCTACTTTGTGGCTCAAAGCATGGGGTTCCGAATTGTTCTGCAGTCTCAAAACTATTTGCCTTCGGCAAGCCACTGATGTTTTTCACTTCTAGTCCTCCCTGTTCTAAATTCCAAATTTTCAGCTGACCGTCTCCTCCGATGGAAGCAAGGAATTCACCCTCGTGGCAGATATCAAGCCCCAGCAGGGGCCCACTGTGCCCTTGTAAATGCAATTCGCTTTTACCATCATCACTTTTTAAAACCTTAATATTTGTATCATCTGAGCCCGCAGCGAGATACTTCTCATGGGCACGGAGGCAAGTCACTGGTGCCGTAAAACGCATTAAGGTGCCATCATTTTCTAATTCTGGATATGTGTATGCTTGCACAGTGTTTCTATCTGTGGAAGCTAGTAGACGTTTTTTGCTATGCGCAATACACATAACAAACTCACCTAGGCAAGTGGAGCTGGGATCATCGTCATCTATGCCGCGCCACATACGAATATCGCCATCAGAGCCGCAGGTAATGATGAATTCGCCATCCTCTGTGAAAATGAGACTTGTAAATCCATTGGTATGTGCGTATCGCAATGAGCTGCGTTCGTAAGCCATTTATTAATTAAAAAATTATGTATAAACTCTCGACCGACAGTGGAAAAATTGTATGGATGATGAAGTGTTTGGCGCCAAAACAGTGTTGGTCAAGCAGCTGCCAAAAGCCAAATATTGGGGGAAAGCAAATGAAAACAAAACAAATACAGAGTTGTATTGGAAGTTTGGACTTTTAATTTAAGGAATATGGCAACATAGATCAGCTGGGCAGTTTTTTCTCGAATGGGGAAATTAAAATTCCTTTGTGTACAAAAGAAAAAACAACGTAAGTTATCTTTAACAGGAATTTCGACGTATTAGTTTTCCAGAAATTAAGAGGGTTTTAATAAATTGCAAGCAATATTTAAAATAATTCAAAGAAAAATCACGAAGATACATACATACAGTTATATTTAATAGGTGATCAATTTTGTGTGTGCATAAAGTACATAGCACAAGGAATAGTAGCATTAAAAAACTCACGAACCAGGAAGTCATGGCCAATAATTACTTGCAGCCAGTACACAATCACTTCGATCTAAATGCCACTGACCTAGAAGACGTGGATGATGACATTTTTTTGAATAATTCACGTATGAATAGCACATTGTCTGGTCGTGGTAGTGGAGTCGGCAGTACTATGGGTGGGCGTAGCACTAACCCATTCGAAGACCCACAACAGATATATGCCGAGCGACGCAGAGAAATCGAAGCCCGTTCGTTAGAGTCCACGCAACGTAGCTTAGGTACATATGGACATATATAACATTACATAATCTTTCTGCTTTAACTTTACAACAACACAATTGTTTACTCCCCCATAAGGCTTGCTGTATGAAACTGAGGATGTAGGTAAGGCCACAGCGGTTGAATTGGCCAAACAACGCGAACAGCTGGAGAATACGTCGCGGCAGTTGGACGAAATTAATTCCACGTTACGCTTCAGTCAACGACACTTGAATGGGTTGAAAAGCGTTTTTGGTGGACTTAAGAACTACTTATCTGGTAATCGTGATGTACCGCCAGCGTCGCGTGCACCTAGCGCACAAGCTGGTGGCGCTCAATCGATGCAACAGGAACCACAAGATAGTACCGGAAATAGTAGCTCTTCACCAACAGCTATGTCGCCCACCGAACGCTACGACAATCATCCCATCAGTCGTATCCGTGACGATTCAACCGCCTATAAGCAACGGGAGCAAGTACAAGCACAGCGACGTAATAATCCTTTTGAGACGCAATTAGAAGCGAATTTAGAAGAGATGTGCGATAATTTGTCGCGTTTAAAATGTCTCGCTACGGATTTGGGTGGCGAAATTGAATCGCAAAATGAGTTGTTAGACAATATGAATTATAAAATTGAAGATGTCGATATAAAAATGAACAAGCAAAATAAAGAAATGTACAAATTGCTTGGCAAAAAGTAGGTGTCGGTCTCGTAGTTGAAGAATAATCGTGGAGCTCTGCAATTGTAATAAATTATGTTTGAAAATTCTATATTGAGCTTTACATGCATCTATATATTTTGACTACTATATACATTACAAATCATTTATTTGTGGATTTCTGTGTAAAATCTTTAATGCATTCCCTATTAAGCCCAATTTCGCTTTGAGATGAGACTGTCATAATATAGAGTAATTCACAAAAATAAGGACAGTTTCGTTTACATTATTCAAAATGTTTATAATGGTAAATATTTTTCGTTATTTTTTTTTACAAATATGGTTCATACTATAACAAAAAGCATACATATGTATATGTCAATCAAAGTTTTAAAACTTATTCCAAAATTAAAAAAAAAAATCCTTAAATTCCTATCCAAAATTTAAATTTTTTAGTATTCAGTTTTATACGGCCATTCAATTTTACTACAAGGTTTAATGTTTTTCCAAAATTAAAAAAAATCCTTAAATTCCTATCCAAATTTTAAATTTTTTAGTATTCAATAAGGTTTAAGCTTGAAGTGGTCGAAAATCGCGTTTATTTTTTGCTGACGGTGTTTCGCATATTTTTTCTATATATACAGTTGTCCACAAAATAATAGGAGTGCGATATTTTGACCAGTTTTGGCTATTTGTCTTTTGTTTATTTAATGTTGATTTTTGAGAATTTTTTTGGTTAAAGGTGTTTCACGTTTTTTCCATACAAAGTATGTCGACAATTTTCTTTTATATGGAGGACACTGCCAGCAAAAAAATTGCCAAAAATCAACGGAAGTTTTTAGCCGCTTGAAACTTGCACTTCTTCAGACTAGAATTGAATGTGCTACAAAACTGCATACCAGAATTATTTCTAAAGATTCTGATTAAAAAGTTTGAAATTTGGGTGAAAAATTGCAAAATTGTTATAATTTTTATACAAAGTTTAAAATCTGAAATTATATGGTGTTTGTTGTATAGCCAGCTAGGCTTTTATAAAAAAATAATAAACATTAAATAAACAAAAGACAAATAGCCAAAACTGGTCAAAATATCGCACTCCTATTATTTTGTGGACAACTGTACGAGTGCGCTTATAATTATCAAAAATCAACACCATTCTGTGCTACTTTAAACTTTCACTTTATTATACTAAAATGGAATGGGCTATAAGACTGCATACCCAACAATTTTCCAAAAATTCTGATTACTAATTTTGAAATTTGGATGAGAAAATGCGGTATTTTCTCTTAAATTTTGCAATAAAATGGAACTTTGATATATACGATTTTTGTTATAGTATATTTACATAAACAAGCAATTTTTAAGCAAAAAACAAAACCGACTTCAATTCTCATATAAAAATTTAAGATCATCGTTAATTTCTTCATGATCGAAATGATCAGATTTTAACCAATTGATAACCTTCTCCTTTAGTGATGTCGGTTAATTAAAAATTAACGAAAAATATTTAATTTGAAAAACATTTTGAATATTGTAAAAAAAATACATATATACTTTGTATGTGTTTGTAATGAGAAATAGTTCAAACATAATTGCATAGCATTAAACAGACACAGTTTTTCAACATATCCTTAGCAGAGTATAAATTGAATTCGTTTTGAAGTAAGGGCTACGTATTCGCTGCTTAAAGTGTATAAATATCAATTCGCATATGTTATACATATATCCATATATTCATTATAAAATAAATATTAAGATCTTTTGTAACCAATGAAGCAGTTTTCTTGATATTCAAAATTTTAATAAATAAGCGAAAACCATGCATTTGAGAACTTTTTAATCAAGGCGAATTTAAATTCACTTTGCTTTTGATGAAAAATTGAAGATAAGTTAAATGTAAAACCTTTTTTATGTTTACAAGCTTGCGTTTTAAAGTGACGTGATCTCTTTCATTATATGCTTATCTGACAATTTGCGATTTCAAAGGAAGTTCAAAGAAATGTACAGATGATAAACGAGTTGTTGACTACAGCGATGAATCATCACTCTTCGCTGCTAAAATACAAATCCTACTATGTAAGCGATGTTGTTTAATAGCTGTTGCTATTTCAGTCGCTAATTAAATTAGTAGATATTTAATGACGGCGCAAGTTTAGTGTTTTATTTTCGATTCATCATATAAGGTGCAAAAAGGATTAGATTGAATTAAAAAATGTATTTTACTTATTCTTTATTCAAATTATTTCTGTAGTTTGTTCAACTCCCATGCATTACGATGATGAAGCCAACGTAACAAATCTTCTGCGTTTTTTTCGAAATCTCTCATTAAAATACATAAGCTTTCTAAAGCGACAAGCCCTGTCTTCGACCGGTACGAATTTCGTAAAGCTTGCATCATCGCTGAGTGGCAACAAAACTACACCCATTAATTTACAACGGAAGTATTCTGAAAGCAATGGTATGCATTCATAACTATAATGATCATATAACCGAATAAAATCATTAAAAAAGTACCTATTTAATCAGCGAGGTAGAGGCGATCTATAATTTTTTTCAACAATTAAAACTATACCTGGGCAAATAAAGTATTCGAAAGTATTTGAAATATGTATTTTCAAACGCTGAATAACAAAACTTACTAAAATTCTAAAACCGTATCTACATTAATAAACTGTTCTCAATCAAAATATGCCGCTTATTGTGGAAGAATTAATTGTTGTAAAATGTTTGCAACACTTCTACAACGAGTTTAAAACGTTCTCACACAATCAAATTCACTTTCAAGCTGATTTAAATGTGCAATTTTTTTTTTCTTGATTTCTGTTCATTGCCCATTCCATGTAAAAAAGGAAAATATAATTGCTATTGCCTGACAAGTAAAAACTTGTTTGGTAATTTCTGGATATTAAGCGAACTAGTAGATATATGAACCGGGTTTACGTTCCCAAGACAGTCGCGTATACGTAACCGGAACGACCTATGTAGTTGTATACCAAAGAATGTCACTCCAGCATCATTCCCCAAAACTATTTGGCGAATTTATATATAATTTGGCAATTACAGCAATAGAACTCATTCCGAATCTATACATAAATTTATCAATACCCAACGTTCCCGCACAAATTAAGAAGAAACAGCCTTTTATTGTTTTTTTTTACCACTTACGGCATGTACTTAGCAATTATTGTATTTATTGAATTTTCCATTGTTCCTTGATTTACGCAATATTTACTTTCTTCCAGTGTACTATTGCTTCAACTAATTGTTTAATAATTTGTATTTATATGGATTTTTGTTTGCAACATTTCAATTGAAATAAGTAGATGATTCTTTTAAATATAATATAATTAATACAATAGTATGTTCATCAAAAATCGATAAAAGGCAAAGATAAAGAACGTTACTCAACTTTCATAAATTTCAATGTTCTTGAAGAATTACACGGAGAGAACGTTCAGGGTATAAGATTTAAAAAAAAAATGGAACAGCTAAAAGTATGTTTAACTAACGACAAAATTAACCAAGAACATTTAAGTCAAAAAAGAAAAAAAAATAGGATTAACATTTTAAAATCAGTAATTATATAAAAGAAAGCAACTTAAAGAATTTGATGTTAATCATACTTTTTATACACTAATTTTAAGTTTAATTTTACAAAAAATGACGGGTAGTTAGTGGTGCATTAAACAGTGGTTTTGTTGTAAGTAGTTAGGCGGAGGGACACACTTACATATGAAATTTTTTTATTATTAAATGAATTAGAATGATGAAGTTGTTTTCTTGGCTGGTTTAGGGTTGCGAACAAAGAAACTTATTTCTTTGCTGTGTGAGCTTGGGTCACGTACTATATCTGCATGTATTTGTGAGTAATGTGATTGTACGTATAACGGGTTGACATGTGTGTACGTTATTAAAATGTGTTATTTCTTTTTTCTGAATTTTCTTGCGGTATATTAAAATTGTACTATGTCACTGCGTAAGTTGAAAGGTTGTTCACTTTTTCACTGCAGCGTCACCACCATTTCCATTGCCCGCGAGGGGTGTCTGGTAAGAGTATTGCGACCAGTATTGGTTCGCATCACTGGTACCAGCCGCACCGGCTGCCGCTTGTGGCTGTTGCTGATTTTGCTGAAAAATATCAATAATTTGTTTGTTTGTAATATTTGCATTTAAGTAGAACATCTGTTATTACCTGCCACCAAGCTAGCCACTCTTGCTGCTGGTTGGGATCGGCATTAGCCCACTGCTGCTGCTGTTGTTGAGCATTGCCGTAGCCTGCGATGAATCTATTTGGAATAACTAATATTAATTTTTTTTAAATAATTTTTACGCACCTTGCGTATCCCCATATCCCCAGTACTGTTGCTGCACGGCGGACTGTTGCTGGTATTGTTGATGTTGTGGCGCGTGTTGCTGCCAATTGCCTCCGCTGGCCATTTGATGTTGCTGCTGCTGGGGGTGTTGTGACTGTGGCTGACCATAGGAACTCCATTTACCGCCACTTTGCGATGAGCCCTAACAAAAAAAAAAAGTTCATAATGTTTTCGTCGAAAATATTAAAATACAAATTAATCTACCTTACTGCCTCCTCCTGTCCCCGCTGACTTGCTACTACTGTACTGGTGGTGTCCTTGATAGGCGCCACCATGGGCGCTGCTGCTACTGACGGCGTTATTCGCATTACTGCCGTACTTTGCTGCCGCGCCTCCAGCCGCACCCGAGCGTTCATAGCCACCGCGACTATCTTCTGTACGATTGTCGCGGTGGCCAGGCCGAAAATCCCGCTGGTTATCACCACCGGAACGATAATTATCGCGTCGACCGCCGCCGCCGCCTCCTCCTCCGCCTGCATTGCGTTCACGGTGATCGCGGTCACGATAGTCACGACTGCCGCCGCCGCCGCCTCCGCCACCACTACCACCATACGAGTTGTAGCGCCCGCCACCGCCACCACCCGAGTCATAACGACCCCCACCGCCGCCTGAACGATTATAGCGATCATCATAGCGATTACCGCCACGATTATTTTGGACCCAACTTTGTGGGCCATTACTATAGCGGTTGTTACGATTGTCATAGCCACGACCACCACCGCCGCCGCCACCACCGCCATAACCACGATCGTCACGC